TTGATCCGCTGCCGCTGGAAGATGAGGCGGACCCCCCGCCGCCGATCGCGGAAGTGGGGCCCACTAGGGTGCCTACTGTGGGCGAGGGGAGTAGACAGTTCTGGAAGGCTGGGGATTATGATGGGAGCTCGATCGCCGATTCTCTGCCTTCAAATGGTAATTTTTTGGGTAGATTACGAGAAACCTCTTCATTTGTACCCAGTTTTCACAGGAACCCTCACCTATTAAGCTCAACAGAAATAGTAGTTTTAGACAGGCTTTAGCAGAAAGTTACAATGCAGGCGAAAATTACATGCTTATGAATATATGAGTTTTTTCCTTTTTTACTTTTTTTTTGGGACGTAATAGATGAGGGGATTCCTTGAATAACTGGGCACAGATATAGGTTTTTTTTTTGTATCGTGTAAATTTAACATGCATGTGGTTTTTATTGCAGAAGTAGAAGTGAGTTTTATTTCAGTCATACTATGTTCTTGGCTTTTGGTAAAAATGAGGGATTCACTAGATTTTAATAAATTTGTCCATGCATGTCATTTTGGGTAACGCAATGAAAGATTTTCGGTATTATTTGTTCTTGAATTTTGGTAGAAATGGGATTTCACTAGTGTTTTTTATGAAAACTTGTCCATGCATGTGACTTTGAGCAATGTATTGAAAAGTTTACATTAATAACATTTGAATGCAAATGGGGACATTTAGCAAATTGATTGTCGATTCTTTGCCTCTTAAGTGGTAAGTTCCTCTTGTTATGTTGTGGAAATTTATCATGCATGTAGTTCTTATTGCTGATTAGAAGTTACTTCTTTTTAGTTGCAATTGGTTCCTGACTTCAAGAATTTTTTCGAAAGCTTGTCCATGCCATGTAATATGTTTGTTTTCAACATCATGCATGCTGAAATTACTGATGAAGTTGAGTTGCAATTGTTCTGGGGGTATAATCTAGCATGTTGTTTAGGTATGAAGGATGATTTTGTGGGGGCAAAAACTGGAGCGGGACAATGTGCTAGCTGTGTTTTCTTGTACAGATATTTGGGTTCTTTTATAGTTTTTTGTCATTTTTTCAACAGAATTTCGCCACACATGTACTCATCGATTAATGCAGCAAAATTTAGTACTACATTTGCATTTTGCTAGAAATGTTTCTCCTAATTGAATGCAAATGAGACATACTAATCCATTTTCCTGTTAAAATCTTTGGATTTCCTACGACACATGAGACAGACTGAGATTAAATGTAATATTGAGAGGGGAAGGGGATACATAATGTGTTCCCCTATTTTATTCTTTTATGATAAATCTCTCATAGATTTTTCTGCTTAATTGGGAAATTTTGCTCACAGAATTATGGAAGATTTATAGTATTCCTTTTTCTGTCTTTTGTTCTCCTGTCTCATGGTTTCAGGAATTGGCATGGATCACGTCAGAGTTCACCCTAAATTTCTACACTCAAATGCTACCAGTCACAAGTGGGCTTTGGGAGGTAAGCTTCATGCTTTTCACAACTGATACTTGTATGATTGTATCTTATCCATGTAACCTATTAGCTTGCATTTTTGTAAGGTGTGGCTCCTTAATTTTGATGGTTAAATTGGTTTGGTTATTTAGCTAATTGCACTTTTTTCTTCTTAAATAGCTTTTGCTGAGCTTTTGGATAATGCTCTTGATGAGGTATTTACATTTATTCTACTCGAATCTAATAATATACATGCATCATCTCCTACTGTCCTACATTATGTTAGAAAATATATTGTTTTCTTTTCAGGTTTGCCATGGAGCTACAACCATTAATGTTGATGTATTGCAGAACAGGAAAGATGGGACCAGAATGTTGTTGATTGAAGGTATTGATCTTCTTTCTACTTGACCTTTTTTATAGTGCAAACACACAATGGGGTTTACCTATTGTTGCTTGGTTTTGCTGGCTACTATTATTGGAAAAGTGATACAGTATATGTTTGGTTTAAGAGAAATAAGAGAGGCATATAACGTTCGGATCCTGGTGCTATTTTGTCTTGCCTTCTTGTCTGCTGGGAGACATTCATGTGCTTGCTTGATTTTCAATTAATGCATGCATCGGTTAATGTTATTACAATGTGAGAGCAAAAATAACACTTCTTTACAGTATCAAAATGACATAGTCCATGGATTGATTGCATCTGAAAAAAGACCTGTTAAAAGTTCAAAGTTTTAAACTTCTATCTAGATGATTTTATCACATCAACATTCTGTAGTTGTGTTGCATAATTTACAATATTTTGTTCTTATATACAACCAAATTACAGTATAAAAGGGTCCAACCTTCCAAATTGAATCTAGTCGAATCCTACATGTGTCTTGTACTCGTGTCTTACGATGCCTTAATACCTATTGTTGATGCTCTGTGGTTGAACCTTGTTGAACTTAAAGACATTAGGGTTAGTTGCACCTAGAAATATACATGTTACCAAATCTTATAATTCCTAATTTGCAAATCATATAAACCTGAAAAAGGAACATCATAGTAATAGAGTAGACATAACATCCTCTTGAATAAAGTTCAAACCTTTGCGCTTTATCTCATAGAAAATTCGAAAGAATATGCAATTTTTTAAAATATAGAATATCTTAGATGGTTGGTAATGTCTTGCAAGTATCCACTGTGTATCATGTATTGTTCTGGGATACGTGCTGGACATGAGCATAGGACCTACAACAAGTGTCCATGCAACACAAGTTAGTATGTGTATTCAAGTGTTCTATTGCATCCTTCTCAAAGTTTCATTCAATAGCCACAGCCAATCCTAAAAGGCAAAGTAATTGGAGACTACTTTGGAGAATTGAAAGTTTTAGGAAACTATTACGTAAAATGGAAAATTAGACAAATAGGGTATCACTTCCTCACAAAGATAAGATAGAGAATTCTGCCATAATAGATGGGCATCACACCCTCAGAAGAAAGAGAGGGAATCACACCTTCACAGAGACATGGTTTGTTGCTCTCGCACCAATGAAACAAATCACATCCTAATCCAAGTTTTGAGAATAGTATTATACGAGTGAAGTTGGAAGGTTTCATAACATGTTTAGACAAAGAAAGGATGGAAAAGAAGAAAGAATGCATAAGGAAAATGTATTTTACTAATCGAGAATGTGAACAGTTGCATAACTAATTAGTGCTCATATGTAAATGAATAACTAGGTTTTTTTGGGGGTTAGGGGGGGGGGGTATTTCATATTAATTTTAGATGAAAAAAGTATGGCAAAGAAGAAATAATGCATAGGAAAATTGTAAATAAAATTTTTTATAAATAAAGAATGTGTAGAATTGATGTATTATAGAAACTCAAGCATAAGCTACTACACTGCTTGTTCAAAAATAAATAGGTGTGCATCTATTCATGTTCTCTATTACTATATATATATATTTTTAACATTTTCCTTGTGCATTCTTTCTTCTTTTCCATTCATTCTTTGTCTAAATATATTATGAAGCCCTTCAATATCATTCATTTACAATGTTTGTATGATTTTGGAAAACAAAGCTTGGCCTGCATTTCACATCTTTGTCAGAAAAGTGCCCAAAGTCATGCTCGTTTTTTACCTCAAAAGAATATTATGCCCATCTATGATTTCTTTTGATTTGCAGCTTTGCACTAGGATTGTTGTGTCAGAAAATAAGTTATGCAAACTTTATGTTTTATTATATGACAAAGAGGTAAAAGAACATAGAACTTATTCATTTTGTATCTTCAAAGTTTTAGTTCTTTATTGAAAAAATGAAGAGCTAATATAAACCCGGAGCAGTTCTAGCTAATTGGTAAATTTTGATAATGGAAAAAGGCCTTCATGACCATCACAAACAATAATTGGTTTGCAAAGTCACATATTAATCCAAAATATGAGAACTTATTCCTTCAAATGATATTGAGAGATGATGAGTAAACCATTCAAAAAGTTTACGTACAAGAGATTCAATCATTCAAGCATTAGCTACCACTGGTTTAGAACAAACAAAGAATGCTAGTGAAAAGAAATTTGGACATAGAGCAATTCTAGCATTGAATAAATTTTGTAATCGAATCTCATTGCATTAAACCTTATATAAATTATTACAATTAGCTACTAATTTGCACAATCTATATCCACATCTTCAGAAATGAATCTCATTACGTAAAAGCTTATACAAATTCACCTTCAAAATTTCCTTATGCTTCAAAGTGGAAGGGTGGGGGTGGACGGTGTTGAGGAAAGGAGGCTGGAAGTGGAAAGCTACTCCTAAATTTCTTTTTGTGTGGGGGAGGAAAATGAATGGGCTCGGTAGGAAAATCGAGTTGTGGATTGTTGTCTGGTAATGGTTGTTGCCTCTCTTTTTTACAAGGGAGAGTTGAGAGGTTGGAGATGATGGAAGTTGGAGAGATAGAGCAATTATTAGATAATTAATTGGGGAATTAGTGAGAGTTAGTGGAGAAAAGTTATGAGTGAGTGGTTAAATGAAAAATTGATGGTACTTAGGGGCAGGTTGTGAAAAATGAGATTATTATCATGTGGGTATTTATGTTTGAGTATATATGTGTTTTTATATGTGTATGTATGTGTTTAGTTTTACAACAAAATGAACATCCATAAGAATGCATGCTTGTGTTTTATGTACGCATGTATGTGTTTTGGGGGGCATTTCCAAAGAAATATTTTAACCTAGTAACCCACTTTTATAATAGTATTAGATTATGTTTTCTCTAATCCTAAGTAAACTAGCACCGTTCCAATGAGATGAGTCTTTGACTTCGAGTTTTGAAGTAGGAAAAAATGAAAAATCTTTGAGTATTGTCGTGTCTATCAGAACTCTAATATTCAATTCCTTCATGTTCAGCTTTTGGGACACCTGCTTTAGAATCTTAAATATTTATTCATGAATCAAAGATTGGTTTGGTACCAGTTAATGGAAGTGGGTTTGTAGACCAAAAAAATTCTCGAACAATCTAAAACATTAGATCAGAAAAATAGGTAATCACCCCTTTACAAAGATAAAATAGGGAATCACATCATAATAAAATAGGATCATACACATAAGAAAGAGAAGGAATCACACATTCGAAGCAATAGGATTGCTAGTCTCACCAATAGAAGGACATAACATGCGATTCCAAATCTCAAAAGGGTTTTGTTAACAAGTGCCCCTATCTCAAAAGGGTTTTGTTAACAATAGAAGGACATTCACTTGTTAAGAGTCATTAGTTAGGTTCTCAATTACTTTAGTAGTCTTGATAATTTAAAAAACTCATGAATAAAATTCATCAGCTATTAATGATCATTTCGAGTTATTTAAGCTTTGCACATATCATTACTTTATTAGTCTTGTTATTTAAAAAGTAGTTTTTTTAAAAAAAGTAATATTTTCTTGAGAAAATTTATATTTTTTGAAAAATACAAAAATATATAAAATGAAATTATCTAAAGTAATAATATTTTTGGGATTTTTTAATTTATGGAACGTTTTTTGGGATAATTTTTATTTTATTTTTAAAAAAGTAATATATATTCCAAAACATATTTTTTAAAACATTTGGAAAATAATTATATTTTACAAAAACATTTTGAAGAAATAATATTATTTCTTTGAAAATTATTATTTTTCACATATATTATTTTTATTTTATTTTGTAAATAATGTATATTTCGTCAAGAACATATAAATATTCTCAAGAAAATAAGTTTTATAAAAGTTTTTTAAATAATAAGACTAGTAAAATAATGATATGTGTAAAATATTAAGTAGCTTATGTATTTTATTCATGATTCTTTTTCAAATACCAAGACTACTAAAGTAATTGAAGCCTAATTAATGGCTCTTAACAAGTGCCCCTTGGGCACTTGTTAACAAAGCCCATCTCAAAATTATCTAAATCAATCTATCTACGCACATAATTTGAAGATTGTAAGAGTATTCTAAGACTAAAACTAAAATCAAATAACTAAATCTAAATTCAAATAGGACAACTCAATTTCAAATTTAAGATCTATTAACTTATCCTAATTTCAAGTAGAACTAAGAGACTCGAATTCACATTTTAAATCTAATATTAACTAATTCTAAATGCAAATCAAATATCTAATCCTAAACTCAAATCAAATATTTATTCTGAAGTAATTTTGATTTCTCCGACCGCAAATTAAGTAGAGCTCTTCCAACGAGATGAGGCTTGGGTTTGTTCTACTATTACCGAAGTAGTTCTCTGTTGGAAAGGCTTAAATGGCGATGATATGATCGCACTTTGTGATGTACTTTGTAAGTATTTAAGAATAACTGTATATATTTTTTCCTTTTTTGCGTACAACTTAGTTTTCAGGTACGTCTCGTTATATCTTCCTTATCTATGATATGGCCCTTTCTGAAATTGACAGTTAGGTTGCTATCAATTTTCTTAAATACATACTTGACATTCCACAAATACTTCATTCTACTAGAAAATCTGGAGGTAAATGAGGTTCCTGAATATATTCTAAAGTTAATATTGATTTTTGAACTATTTGAATAAGATTAAATATTCTTGGGAAAAGTAGATTTCTTTTCTATTAGATACAGTGGGAATATCTTAACTTAAGATGTAATATTATACTTTTATTTTTTTAAGTTTCAGTTAGATGGGTTGGAGATTTCTTTTCTGTTAGTTGGGGTGGCGATATCTTTTACCAGTACCTGTTATTTCTTTTTTGTACAGACAATGGTGGAGGAATGGACCCGGATAAAATGAGACAATGCATGTCCTTGGGCTATTCAGCGAAGAGCAAAATTGCAAATACTATTGGACAGTGTGAGTCAAGCGAAGTATATTCTTTGTACTGCAAATCTTGTATCTTTTTTTATGTGTGTAAAAGGGTGGGTGCTTGTTTTCCTTAGAGTGCTAATACCTCTTTTATACATTAGATGGAAATGGTTTTAAGACAAGCACAATGAGACTTGGTGCAGATGTCATTGTGTTCTCCCGCAGTCATGGAAAAGATGGAAAAAGGTTTGATGCACTGATCCTAAAGTTTACGTCTAGTAAGTTAATTGGGTAAATTACACTTAAATACCCTTAGGTTTAGTATTGCACTAAAATACCCTCACTTTTAAAGTACAGATAAATATCCTAAGGCTCTGAAATGTTTCAGTTGTTAAAAAAACCTGGATGGGGTTAATACAATCCATTAAATGACATTAATGCTCCCCTATTAAATTCACCTACCGCTGTAATGAACCCTCTCTCCCCTCGTTAAAAAAAACCCTTTTTGTTACATTTTTCACCATTCTCCCCCAAATTGACTGTGCCTCGGGTAAACTTCGATCCCTAGTGGGTGTAGGGTTTTTTTTAATGCCTACAGTGGGGAATTTGAACAAGCATTATCAATTTGGTTCTTGAAGTGACTTTTTGCAAGGTAGCTTGAATCTAGGTTTAGGTTCAACCTAATTTAAGTAAAATTATAACCTCTATTTTATGACAAAAATCAAGAGCATTTGCATAAGTTCTTGTTAATTGATGATTATCATTCGTTAAAGAGTAATTTGGTGGCTGTTTTTTAAAACATTAGTTGTTAATTTTGATTTTGGTTAACGAGAGGATTTTTTTGGCATGAGGGTTTTGTTAGGTTAACTTGGATACTGTAAACATGGAGAAAGATGAGTTTTAGTTCATATTAGTGAAGAAAATAAGTTTCATATAAGAAGATAGTAGTAGTTGTAAATTTGATAAACTTTAGGGATAACGGAGAGCCCCAAACTGCCACATGCCGTCCAAAAGGGAATATTCATCGAATATTTTAACGGTCATGTAATGGAGGGTATCAATGTACATTTCAGAACCTTAGGGTATTCATTTGAACAAGTTTAAAAGTTAGGGTATTTTTGTGCAATTTTGGTAAACCTTAGGGTATTTAAGTCTAATTTACCCAAATTCATTTGACTACATCACGCACATTAGTGCACAAGATTTCGCTTGCCCATATACACTTGTGTGAAAGATTTTCTCAGCATGTTTTCAGTTAGTGTAGAATAATTTCATTTTCTCAACATGTTTTCAGTTAGTGCAAACTAAATGTTTTGATAAAAATATTTGTATCTATACGGGTTAAAATATAAAAGTATAAACCTCGACTCCCACCACAACTACATTAGTAGCAGGGATTTTAAGATACTATGAGCAACCTAAGTTTGAATTTTGGAGGCCACAAACTTCTTTGCTGGTTTAAAAAAAATTAATACCGCTGCGTGAGACCTGGTTTCTGCCCGTAAAAGAGCCTTCAACATGCAAGGGCATGTTAGAATTTAAAATTATAAACCTCGACCTTCATAAAACTTCAGTGTTTTGGTGTAGTGGCAGGGACTCTAAGAATATGCTTCGCCTTTGGAAGCTGGTTATTAATATATAATACTACTTTTTACTGCTAATAACCTTACCTTTGAAACAATGTTCTAAATATCAGATGTCGAGGATATATCAAATGGCAGATGCCGGGGATATATTGAAGATAATACATATCTAGGTGTCATATTGGATGATATGTATGTACAAATCATAGATGTTCAAAGTTGATGCACTGAAGAATGATGTTACGGGGAAGGAGATATCTTTTGCAAAAGGATTTGGTCTGAAGTGTGCCCTAATTCTTCTGTTCAGTTATTTACTTAACCAGATATTTGTTTAGGTTTAGACCTCAACTGAAAAAATAAGTCCAAAAAAAAAAAAATCAAAACAAATAAGTGCAAATTGACATTACAATGTTTCAGCCTATTTTTTAAGGCTGAAATGTCACTTGATATATCGGGAAAGTCATAACATATCACCCAAAAAGTGCAAAAAGCAGTAAAGGATGTTGAAACCATATTGTTTTGCAGCAAGCGTTGTAAAAGGATGTATCGGACGATCTATGAACCATGTCAGGATATTTAAAACAATGCTTCGAAGGTAAAGATAAGTAGTTTTGTGTATTGTATAGTCACACAGAATGTCAGTTATTTAGGAAGTTTACTTTTGGTAATGGCTACAATGAGCATAAAGAATGTGACAAATTTGTTTACAATATTGCATAATGGTTGCACAATATTTTCTTCCAGAACAAGGACAAGGTGATAAACTAAATAGTTGATTTTGACATTTTGTTGGCTATGCTTAGGTAATGCAATGACTTCTGCTCAAACTAAAATATAGAATTGAAGGCTTTAGACGATGGAAACACAAGCATTTAAGTGCTTTGCGAGTGAAATCTCCCAAACACTTAAACCCAATGGTTGAGGTCTTAGCGAAATGGCTTAGGGCTTTTTTTTTGCTTTTTAAGTGCTTTTTGGACTCATTCCTACATATAGGTATATAGAGTAACTGGGCAACAACCTTTAGTGAAGCTAGTATGTCCCTGACCCATTCCATGTTTCTGCTTTTCAACATAATGCTAATTTATTTATTTAATAAAGACAAGTTGATAGGATGATGATATAATAGTTTCATTTTCGGTTTACATAGAAAACAGAATAGATTTAGTTGTTTTTAATACACACAACACATTCTTATGTATAGAACAATAACAGAAAATTTCAATCCAAAATTTTGTGTTTGACTATATGGATCTTTTTCTTTCATTCAGTTCTATTAAGGACCAACCATCTTCAGTTAAATTAACTACCATGATGGGCTTCTAATTGCCTCTATTCTTATTCACTTTGATCTACGTCTACTCCTCCATTAACTGCAATCTTCTTTTCTTTCATCCAGTTCTATTAAGGACTATCTTCAGTTAAATTAAGTAATACTACATGCTTCTTAATTGCTTCTATTCATGTTCACTTTGATCTACTTATAATCTCCTGTTAATTATAATCCTTTCGTTTCTTCTTGGTGTTGCAAATAACGCCATTTATTGCAAGTTTGCAACCATCTCAATTGATTATCTCTCGTTTATCCTCGATTAAAAAAACATTCTCCAACTTGTATGAAAATATGCTTATTTCTTATGGCATCTCTTAGATAATTCCGCCCATTATCTCCGCCCATTATCTCAGTATTCTCATTCTATTTGTCTTTTTAAACATAATGTTTTTGTATTGGAACTATTTTTATTTATGAAGGATTGATGTTGTTGTAGTTTTCTTAAGCAATTTTTCATTTTTTAAGATTAAATTTCTTTCTCATTTATTTCATCTACACTCCATTTGGACTAATCGAACTTCTGCATTACAAATTCCCATATTCTGCTGTTTTCCATGAGTCTGAGCCATATTCGCATTTGGACTAATCGAACTTCTGCATTACAAATTCCCATATTCTGCTGTTTTCCATGAGTCTGAGCCATATTTGCATGGAGATGCAAGGGCACTGGAGTTTAGTAAAATGCCATGATACAAGAGATTATAGCCCATGATAAGAACATTACTTTCGATTTCGTTCCTTGTTCAGTTGATTTCATCTATTTCATGCTAGTGGTTATACATGGTGATAATTAGTATTTTATTTGAGATAATTAGTATTTTATTTGAGTTAATATTCTATTTGAGAATTATTTCATTATACAAATATGTTGCTGAAAGAAATTTTCTCGCGATCTTGAATGGGAACATTTTGATTAATTAATTTGGTTACTTGAGATTTATGTTGAGATTGGGTGAGTTTGAATGTTTGGCAATGGTGGTGTGAATCGTCAGCTTGTCTATATATACTTTAAAATTTCTCTTCTTCCAAATAAGTTTTTTGTCTAATGAAAGGTAATAGTTTATATGCATATATCAATATTGTATTGGATTAAGGCCATGTTTGGATTCTTGGAATAAACATCCATTGGATTTTTGGGTTAATGCTCTGTTTGATTCACTATCTGAGTATTTTCTTTTGTTAGAGTATTCTAGGATAAATATCCAAAATGTTCATTTGTGATCATATTAAGGCCATATTTGGCTAGAACGGTTGGCGACATTGATGTTAAGAGGGTGTAAACATTTTAAAATGCGTTGTATCCTGTGTTGGCATACCAATATTGTGCTGTCCAATATCAAGTGTTAGTCAAGAGTTAGTGTAACAAAATAAAGATCTTCCTAAAATAGGAGGTAAATTGCATGACCCAAAAAAAAAAACACTCAGGACATGACAATGATCAGTATTTCTTATGCTTGTTAAATTGCATGTGTTCCAAAAAAATAAAAAATAAAATAAAATAGAAGAGAGAGAGAGAGAGAGAGAGAGAGAGAGGGAGGGAGGGAGATTACTCAGGGCATGGCAATGATCAGTACCTCTTACGCTTATTCTATTAGGCATATTGCAAGAGTTGGAATGTGTTATTTTCGAGCATGTTCTAACTCTTGTTACTAAGCGAGGACGGAGGCCCAATTCTATCATAAGGTATTAATTGGTATGCAAAAGTAATTTGATGGAATGATTTGTTTGGTTATCAATTTTTGAGCAAAATGCTTGATGGTTAAAATTCAAAGGGGTTTAGTCCATATATGACTAGAAAAGTGAGTCAAGTGACATAGCATCCCCTCCTTTCCGATCATTGTATCTTCCAATTGCAAGTCTTTATAGTAATATGACATATCCGTAGCTATTCTAGAAGTATAAACCTCACCCCAGTCTTCTCTTTAAATGTTCCCGATCTTCTGTTCCCATGTCCCCACAAAATGTACCTTATTAAAGAACCTTTCCAATACAACACAATGTCAAAGTTACAGTGAGGGTTTAGGTTATAATTTTATACTCTAACTTGTCCTTGTTGGTTGATCACCCTTTTTCATTGGCTAAAACCCAGAATCACAAATTCTAAAACGTGTTTAAAACAATGCCGTTTGACAGCGTGATATTGAAGGAAGTTGAACTCTTACTGCACTCCAAGCAGATATAAACGCTTCTTAGTCCCTTGTAGTTCATATAGTTAAGGTCGGTAGGAAAAAGAGGGGTTTGGGTACGAATGCTGTTCACATGAAAACTATTTTTTTAGTCTATGCTCAGCAGCTGAGCTCCGCTTTTGTCCTAAGTTTCTTGTATTTTCTTCCGCTCTAGACAATATATTAAGTAATCTGCCTTGACTTGTCATTAGCCCAACACAAAGCATTGGCATGCTGTCCTACACTTTTCTGAGGAACACTGGGAAAGAAGATATTGTAGTTCCTATGGTAAGTTTTTTCTTTTTCTTTTTGGCATTTTTTATTGTATATCTGAGCCATATTTCATTCTTATTTGTTGAAATAGAAAACATGTGGTCCTCAATGTCTCATGTCTATGCTTCTATGTGATGCATCTGTTGGTTTTTTAAATTACTGATGTAGTTAATTAATCTCTGTAGGGTTTATGTATATTCTTCTTCATAATTCTTCTTTCATTATTTTAATTCTCTTCCTTCGCTTTTTTGGTACATAGTTTGTGTATATGATGATGAATTGATGTAGAATAGAATGGATTTGATGGAGCACCTACTTACCATGTCTTAAGAATTTCCATGTACAACTATCGAGAAATTGACTTAATATGTTCTTTCAAATTAAAACATGTCACCAAAATGTGTGGAAGCAGCTATGAACCTTGCATTCCCAGTTGTTCTTCAATGTTTCATTCTCATAGACATAAGTACCATTTCTTTCCTTTCTTCCTCTTGTGCACTCATTTTATCAGATAATGACGTGGGCAATGCCATGGTTATTGATGAATATGCATATGTATGTACGTGCACACGCGTGTGGTCAGATTATTGCAGGAAAATGATCAGAACTATGTCAGTGCATATCCTCAAAGAAAGGAGTGTATCTATATTTAAAAAGTGAACCTGAGTAAATAACTCGTAATCTTAATGCTCTCCATGTATCCTACTGTACTTTAAGATAGAGCCAGATGAATTACCTATTGCCAAGAAGCACCTGATCTGTTGCCTATTCTGGTGTTGATGTTGTGAAGGACTCTGAGAAACTTGCGGTTCCCAGTTGTTCCTGGAACAATGTTAGTTTTTTCATTGTTCACTCACTGTACACGGTCAGACAATGTCATGAACAAGGACAATGCTTATTAATGAGCACTTAAGGACATAGACAGTTACATATGGCAGTCCTTGCTTCTATGAGTTTTATAATAGTCTTATTTACATGTTAGCTTTTTGCAGGAAATAATGAGAAGTATGTATGTACAGATTCTAGGGAGTGTAGTCATATTTATACTCAAAAAGTGACCTGAGTAAATTGTACATTAATTATTATAGTTCTCTCCATGTATCCCACTGTAAATTTAAGATACAATTGAATGAATGGCTATTGGCAAGAAGCAGGTGGTCTGTTAGAACAGCGATAATCTAGGTTGTATAGGTATGAATATGGATACAGGTGCGGGCGACAACAAATCCATAAAAGGTAGGCAAAGAAACATATATGTATGCCCCCCCCCCCCCCAAAAAAAAAAAGAAAAAAAAAAAGAGAGGGAAAAGTGCTCATAAGGTGACATATTACGTTCAACCTAAAGAGGCATCCCTTGATGTGTGGGATTAGACTATTCCAATGGATGATCAACTCCATTCATCATACTATGTCTGAAAAACATCTGTATAACAAAATTCATGATGTTTTAATACATCTTATACATATTTTTCATTATCTCTTTTAGTTGTATTCTTTTAAAACCGCTAATTTTATGATCACTTTGATCCATGAGTAACTACAATCCAATATGCCTAATATTTTGTTTAAATACAATCGAAGCATATAAATCAAAATGAACGGAGTGAATCAAGTAAATTGATTGCATATAGTGTAGTTTTGAAAGTGCTCCCATAGATTGAATTTAAGGTGTCACCTTATGTCACGCGTCGGGCCTGCGATCCCATTGGCGCGATGTAGGCTGTGGGACCCATTGAGTGTAGTGCGTTGTTGGCTCAAACCACTGTGAAAATCAACTAGCCGGTGTTACACTTGAGCCATTGGCTTCGCATATAACCACTTGATAGTTTGTTGAATGATACTTGTGATTCTTTGATACCATTGAGGTGGAGGGACCATAGTTCTATTTATCACAAAAATTTGATAATTCACAATTCTGAGTAGTACCCCTCAATATGGGAAATTGAGATAGTAGGCGGATACAATTACTATTTCGTGCTGACATTTCTTAAGAATAAACATTTAAACACTCTAGTGAAGGAACTGAATTAACTAAAATTTGTGGGCAACCCTGTGCACTCTAATTAAACACAATTCAGAAGATCTTTTACAGGTAACTAATCAAAATATATGCTTGCATTTTGATTGGTTTAGATATTTCACATTTAACCCATTTTATGATTAACTTAATCATTAGGATAATTGGGGATAGAAAAAGAGGTAGTACCTAAGTACGGGGTACTGCACCATTTTTAAGTTTGGGAATGAGGCACAGTTGGTTATTGTTTACGTCATTAACTTGTTTGTGATTTTTACGACTGAGCCATTTTTAGCAGCATCTAGCATGCTTACAGCTTAAAGACTTGTCAGTTATTACCTTCGTAAGTCCTACTCCTATATGCATCTCAAATTTGCAGTAAGAATATTATGAACTGATTCTGAAACTTTATAGGTTAGTGCAATTGTTGAGATAACTTCTTTTTGTACTATGATACCTATTTTATATGTAGGAAGAGCTGAGCCTGAACTTGCCTGGACCAGCTGTGGCTCAACTAAACCTGCTTTGTTAACTAAAGTTTAATAGAAACCTTCTAACCACAGCTTTAATGTGAGTTGATGGAGTGACTTGTTGGCTTATTCCCTGTTAATGCATACTCCTAAGATCTTTAATATTTTATTTTACCATAAAGGCCTACTTCCTCATGTTCTTGATGGAATTTTATGAGCCATACCATCTGAGATTTAGTTGTTTTTGCAGCTGGATTATGACAAAAAAGGTCAAGCTTGGCACAAAATGACGAGATTATCTTCAGTCGATTGGAATATAAATTTAGAAACCATACTACAATGGTCTCCCTATTCGAGTGAAGCTGATTTACTTAAGCAGGTAACATAGATTGGTAGAACTGGAGTAACATTGTTGATGTGAATATTAGAAAATATTGATTCTTTTTCTGTCTTTTATTTTGGCCGTTGATTCCATGTCATAACCACCCCCCCGACCCCCCCCCCCCCCCCATTTCAACATCTCAAAACAACGTCGGATTTATGCCATCATGATTGTGAAATTGTTATCATGAGTATTTTCAAATGCACTGCTAATTTATTTCATAACAAAGTTTCAAATGCAATGCTAACTTATTTGACAATTTTTTTTTCATAGTCCTTTATATTGCCTTACACCAGTTTTATTAACTGATGCCATGTACATTTGTAGATGCCTAAGAACCTTATATGAAAGGCAAATACCTCTAGAGACCCATAAAATCTTGTATAATGTCTGACAAGCTATTTCCTTATCAATTAAAAGATAGATCCCATATAAACAACTGATAATCATATCAATTCTATCACTTCTTTGCTGTATTTCCTTGTATAACAATATTGAAAATATAATCATATTGCTTCCTGTTGGGCACAATTTCATTTTGCTGCATTTCCTTGTACAGCCTCTTCCTGAAAACAGCAGTGAGACTCTTTTTTATTAAATCAATGTGGTTGCACTTGTTTGGCCTTCTGTGGAGAAATTAAGAAGTAATTGAATTACTAAAATATACTTAACTTGGTAACTCCAGTCTATGCCAGCTACCTGTGTAATACATAATTCTTCTTGTTAGCATGATTAAGTAATTGCATGGTTCGAGTCATAATGTTCTAATTTTTTTAACGCTCGAAAATTGACTTTACTGGCAAAATTAAACCACTAATGTAGTTGGAC